GAGAAAAGTAATGTTTATATTACAGTCTAAATTTCACAAGGGCAGTGATCATTGCCTTATTGCCTGTTTTATTCACTGCTATATCAATAGTATTTAGAAAATATCTGGTGCAAGTTAAGTATTTGTTGAATGAACCAATTAACTGGACACTGGGCAATTGAATGAAAAAAGGGGAAAAACACTAGAAATGCAGTCTGACCCTAGAAAACCTTAAGAACATGAAGACAATAAAGGACAGGGCAGGTTTCTGAAGAAGAGAATAGGACCAGGTCCAATGGCTCACTCCTGTAATTCCAGCACTTTGGGAGGCTGAGGTGGGAGGAACCCTTGAGCCCAGGGGTTCAAGACCAGTCTGGGCAATATTGTGAGACCCCACTGCTACAAAATTAAAAAAAAAAAAATTAGGTGGGCGTGGTGGCATCCACCTGTGGTCCCAATTACTAAGGAGGCCAATGTGGGAGAATCGCTTGAGCCCAGGAAGCAGAGGTTGCAGTAAGCCACTACGCTCCAGCCTGGGTGACAGAGGGAGACCTCGTCAGAAAAGAAAAAAAAAAGAATAAAGTGATTTATGTTATTTATTGATTACTATTTATTAATATTGAAATTCTGGAGGCAGTGTCAATTGCCTGAAGAGGACAGCCTATAGACAAGGTAAGTATGAGCATGGAAGTGGGACTTGAGACTCAGCTGGACCTGGCAGGATTTGACAAGTAACTTAGACAAAGGGGTGGGAAAAAAAGGAGTGAATTAAAGATGCTTCTAGAGATTTCCAAACTGAGTGACCAGAAGAATGGTGGCATCATAAAAGGAGAAAAGGCAAATAAGCAAGTTCTGGTGGAGGAAAAAAAAAATCAAGTTCTGTTTTTAGGCATATTAAAGTGCTGACTTGAAATCTATATGGAAAAGTTTCATAAGGAAATCAGATTTGGGGTTTGGAAGTGAGCCAGGATGAAAGCTGTGGATGAACTCAATCCGTGAATATTTACTCTGCTTACTCTGCACCAGCACTAACATTGAAGCCATAGGCATAACAGTGGTAGCTATATGGATGTGCATGCCCTGAATGTGGGATAAGATCTTGGGAAACATACATATATATATTTAAGAGAAAAGAGGGAAAAGAATCACTGGGCGAGACTAAGCTAGATTGATGAGAAATAAAAGAACGATGCACCAAGATTAAGGGAGAATTTTTAAAGGAAGCTAAAGGGAAGGTGTACGAGCTACTTAAATCCTTGAGAATCTTCCTAATTCTGTAGTACCCTTCAGATTATGGATGAAAATATTCAAAGAAGTGTCAAGTAGGAATCAAGCTCTTCAAAAAGAAAACTGGGAACACATACAAATCTTGCAAATGTCAAGAAACCAGTGAAATCTCGGAGAAAGTGGAAAAAGAAATATGGTTCTAGCATAAAATCTGCTACTGCAATTTTCAGTGAATCATTAAACTCTATATACCTCCAGCCACTCACACAGAAAACAGATTTTGTTTGTTTAAAATGAGGTTTGGGGGAAAATAACAAAACGAACTTAGGAGTATAGGGAGGACTAGGAAGGATGTTTAAATATAAGACATAGTTTCTGTCCTTAAGTTACAAAGTCATTTTGAAATAAGAACAAAACACACAAAGGTACTTAAACTATATGATTTACTTAGAGATCCACAGGAAATAATAAATATTAAACAATAATACATATGCAATTAACATTAATGCAAATCAAGTCAGTAAATGCCTACTGATACTCTGGTTTGAGGGTCTTCCTCATAGACTTGGATTGAGATCCTTAAGTTAAGATTCTCAAGATACTCAATTCAAGATTCTTGAGTTGAAATATTGAGCTGCGGTCACTCAAACACTGACTACACAATACACTAATTATCATAAAGCAGTTTGATTGGTTTAAATTACACGTTTTAGAAACTAGACTGAAATTCTAATTAATAAAAAATTGTTTGATGAAGTATAATTAATAGCAACATAAGGGAAAAAACCACCAAGCTGTGGTAGAATGACATCAAAACCCTCTGGCTGTATAATTCTCCTAGGATGAGTTCTTGTAGACTATGAGCCAAGGTCATAAACATCTTTAACAGTTCCAATGCATGATGACAAAGCATCTTTCAGAAATGGTATACCAGTTTACATTCTTAAAAGCAGCTGAAAAACTACTTGTCTCTTGACATTCTTGCCACCATTTAGTACTGTTATTTTCAAATCCTGTTAACTTGACAGAAGAAGAAAAAGTATATTGTTGCTTTTGTTTCACTGAATGATTTAGACTTCTTTCTGGACATGCTTCTTACTGATTTGTAAAGTTCTTTCTACATAAAAGAGATAGATCCTATAATCATTACTAACACCCACAGAAGAATCACCCACACTAACTTCATGCTTCCACACTACATAGCATAAAATTGTGATTAACTGGCTGATGGCAAATTCAGCCTGCCTTCCTGCTGCTTGGCAAGCCTTTTTCACTTTTTGGTGCTCCTCTAATCAGAATTCCAGTGGCGGCTATTGTAAACCTCCTCTGCTTTCCCTAAACTCCAATCCAAGCCTGAATTCCCTTCCTATAGACTTGTCAGAACATGACCATCCAGGACAGAGAGATTCCCAGAGTCTAGAATAATAGTACCAGGCACATGAGAGGCCAGATAAATAATTACTACACTGGCATGGCATGGCATGGCTTAAAAGGCATGTATCGGAAACATTTGGTTTGAAACTCTAGTTTTGCACCTCATTCACTATGTGTTCCTGGGCAAATTAAGCTTTCTATGCTACATTTTACTCATAAATAGGATGGCATTTAATAGCTACCTCACAGGGTGCTACGAAGCTATGTGCCAAATACGAGGCATGACATATGGCTGGTCATCAGTCATTGTTAGCTTCCTTCCAATCCCCAAGTTAGTCTGATCTTTCTCAGGATTTGACAGCTTGAAATTGATTTCTATACAGCTACATTTGCTATCTTTTCTTCATGTCAGTCTGATGGGCAATGAGGACACATTAATAGGTCTTTATACTACAAAGTCAAGTTCCTGGCACTGAAGGATTTGCACAATTTAGCTCCATTTTACCTCTTCAAATTTATCTCATATTCCTCCCCATAAAAAAATTTCTACCTAAGGCAGAGTAGACTTTTACTCAATTTTCCTGAATACACCTTGAACATTTAGATGTATATGTATCTTCCTTCCCTTCTCTACAACTCTCTTAACTATACGCTTCTCATTGTTAAGACACAGCATTATTACTGTTATTTTTATTGGCTAACATTTATTAAGTGCCTTCTATGTGTCAAGTAGTAGTCTAAGTGCATTATATGTTGCTTAATCTTCATAAGCCTGCAAGACATTCTATCATTATCTCTATTAAGCTCTAATAATTAAACATTAAAGATTAACTAATAACTAAATATTTATTATTAAATATAAAATATATATTTATATATTATACATTTATCTTTCTTCTCTAACTAGACTTTACACTCTTGTATGAGATGAACTATGCCTTGTACAGGCATCTTTGCATAGGCATCTACTTAAGCAGAAATTCAATGAGCATGTATGTATTAATTGGATTTTCATTCTTATTTTGTTTCTGTAAGCTGCCACAATGCTCACTTTCATTAAATGTATCACTTTAGCCAACTGTAAAGTAAAGAAGTTCACTTAAATGTAATATATGTAGATATTTTTAGAGACACAAGTCCATCGGCAGACGTACCGTAAAGATTCTGCATGCCCAAGAAAAGAATGGCTGAAGTAGGAGGGTTTGAGTTCTTATAAATAAATCTTTAGGAATACTAGGGTCATGACAGCTTGATTATTCTTAAGGCCACTGTTAGCAACAGTGAGAAAATACATGTAAATTAAAAATTATGAAGCAGTACACGCAACTAACATTCATAAAACATGACAGTAAATTTACCCTTGTTTTGCAGATTTCATAAGACACTGCTGTAAGGAGAGAAGAGAAACTCAGGAAGTCCAGTTTCTTTACTGCAATTGTTGTACAGGAAAAGCATAACTTTTCTTACATATAAATCAATATTTAACGATATCACCTTCCCCTGCTGGAAGAAATAATCATTTGGGATGTCTACAAAGTAAAATGTGTTTCCAGGGACTCTCTAAAATTATATGACTATGGTAAGTAGTATTTATTTTCCGCCTAGATCTCTTGAGGATATAGTACAAATATTTAAATCATCTCTTTCATAACAGATTTAGCCAAGTCCAAAGATACAAAAAATACTTAAAGGTTTTTGCTCAAAGAAATAGGAAAAAAGAAAAAAAAAGAAATCGCTAAAGGAGCAGCAAGTCAACCTCAGGTAATAGTTGAGATTAAATCACAAATAATGGGAACCTATGTACTCTTAAATAAAATTAACGATTTAAAAAATCACTTTCTGATTAACTTATGAAAATAAAAATTTTCATGCTTGTATGTGCTGTTACTTTTTTTAAAGGCTAAAGATGCTGAGGTTTTCAAATTAGCTTGCTTATAGTTAAGGCTGAAAACAAGAAAGGTTACTATGCAGATTAAACCATATGCTTAATTCATAAAGGGAAATTAAAAAAATGCTAGTGCATAGCACATTCCAGTGAAGGGGAGAAAAAAAGGTTAATCAATTCAACTCAATTTTAGCTGAGGGCATTTTTCCACGACTACTGAACCCTAGCATGTGTCAGGCAGCTAAAATTACACTAAAATGTGTCAGTTCTGTTGTTATTTTAGAGATAATCCAGGAAGCAAAACAAAGCCAAAAATTCTCTCTGCATTTTTAACATAAAATGCTTTAATTTTCAGTCAAGTGTATACGTTTTTCTGTTTTAAGATCTTTTGTATTGTTTCCTCTTTTATATATGTTTGAAAGTTTCCATAACAGAAAGTTAAAAAAAAAAAAAAAAAAAAAGAAAAAAAATATGATTTTGTATGTGTTTACATGTATTTTCAAGACACTATTCACCCTTTAAAAACAATTCTTACCAGTCTCTGTTTCTGAAGCTCTTCTCGAAGGATTCTATCTTCTGGTAAAACGTCACATAACAAAAAATAATTCTCTTGTTCTTCTGTTGAGAGGTTAGGAAAACAAATAAGAAAAAAGATATTTACTTTTTTTTCCCAGAAGGACTTCTTAAAAAATACATGTTTGTGTCTATCAGGATCTCTTTGGCATAGAATTGTTTTTAACTTTATTCAAGTTAGGCCAAATGAATGCATTAATTTAAATTAAGCTATCATGAAAGTAAAAGCAATTCCAATATAAGACAGATTATTCCTTTGAATTTTGGTATTGTAGGAAAAAGATGGTAGCGAGAATGCATACTTACCAAATGGAGCAGTGGAATTAATTCTTATCACACTACAAAAATCTGTGACGGGCTGTTCAGTGAACCTTTTCCTCCAATATAAAATGTACCTTAGAACAATACAAAATAAGGAATGATGAGAAGACTCAATATACTATTTGCTTTAGAATGACAGGATTTTGCAAGCATATTCAGTTATCCCAAAGCAACAAATCAAATGTTAGCTTAAAACTGCTTTTCTAGCAGTTTTTTTGTGAATACAAAGGCAGTGGAGCATTATAAAAGTATGAAATAAAGATTTAATAAAGAGGAATTACCATGTAAGGGAATGAAAACACCTAAATTTACTCTCCCCAAATTCAATAAACATACATGTAGAAAAGTTAAAATATATTATTTTTTATGTGATAATGAATTTTTCTGAAATAACATCTAAGTTTATGTGTCTTCAAAATATAGTAATGATTAAATAGACTATAACACATTCTGCAATAAAGAGAAAACTGAGTGGTTATCTTATATATAAAAAGAACAGAGGTCAGAAGAATAATGCAATGTGAAATCAGTCTAAATTCAATATCTACATAACAAGATAGAAAAATTCCATATGTCCACACTGTGTCTGAAATGAGGCAAATTTAGACTTTGGGGAAATAGCCTAACTTACAATTCTTCTATCTAATGAGCAGAGTTAGAAGCAGCATACCAGCTAAATTAAAAACCAAAGCATAACACCCAGACCTGCATATGTGATGAAAGAGGGAGTAAGATGACAGGATTTAACAAGTGGTTCATCCTTTCACTTACCTAACAAGATTTATATTGGCAATTGCAATCTCATTTATTGAATGGTACCAAGAAGAGAGTGTTATCTTCACAGGGAGAAAGGAAAAAGAAAGGTTGACTCTACAGCTCCCGATTTATCAGACCACACAACTGAGGGATAAAACAAGTAACTTACACCAACGAACCAAAGCCTTATAAAGAAATGAGACTTATTGAAATAGATGAAGGATATGTAAAAAGTAGGCATTTGGACATTTTAAAGGGCTTGACATAGCACATCTAGGGAATGTTTTGGAAATAGTAGGTCCACAGTAAATGTTTTAGAGGTAGAAACTTCGAAAATTCCTGTAAAGTTCTCTAAGTAGTCCCCAATTCCCAATATTTTGTCTCCTTTTTATTATTACTTTTTTCTTTTTCATTTTCTTTGTGACGGAGTTTTGCTCTTGTTACCCAGGCTGGAGTGCAATGGCGCGATCTCGGATCACCGCAATCTCCGCCTCCTGGGTTCAGGCAATTCTCCTGCCTCAGCCTCCTGAGTAGCTGGGATTACAGGCACGCGTCACCATGCCCAGCTAATTTTTTGTATTTTTAGTAGAGACAGGGTTTCACCATGTTGACCAGGATGGTCTCGATCTCTTGACCTTGTGATCCACCCGCCTCGGCCTCCCAAAGTGCTGGGATTACAGGCTTGAGCCACCACACCCGGCCTCTATTACTTTTTTCTTAACATGAATTTTCCATTCCCATGGTGCTCTATGGAAAGGGCATTTGTGTATTAGAAATCTGTCCTGGCAAGAGGTCTGGGTGAAGAGAGAAACGTGACGAGCTGACATCAAATACAAATACACAGAATAAATACAGAATATGTGAGAAAAAGAAGTCAATGAAGAGTGCATAAAAAACAGAACCCCATGTTTAAGTTTTTCTTCTCCTATACAACCATACTGCTAACTTTGATGTGTAAGTAAGGGGAGAACCCTTTCCTTATAAAACAGTTGTAGATTTTATCATAAGAGATCTGAAAATGACAACCTTTAGCTTCCATTGAGCCTTAAATCACGAATACATGAATGATGCACGTTACTCTATGGCTAACTCACTGGCTTCCATATTAGAAATCTCACAAGGATGGCAAGTGCATATTGGATCCATCCGAGCAGAAATAGAGAAAAATTTCCTACAAAAGCTGGGACATTATTTCCTTAGCCATCCTGGGCCAGCTTCAACACCTCATACTCCTCAGTCTCCTACATGGCTACTTCTAGTCTCTATCTTTCCATTCCTTGCTAGTTGTTTTCCCCTCCACCCCATGGGAGAGAGGAAAAAGGGAGAAAGAGAAGACAAGAGGAGGCTTAAGAGAATAACAATGACATTCCTAATTCTTATTCTTCCCTCAGCACATTTTCTATTCCAAAGTGGTGACAGGGATGAAGGAAAACAGTAGAAACTATATTAGAGAATGTCAGCAACAGAAGATGGATTATTCTTCTAAATTAAAATATAGACAATTCATTTTCAGGATTAATCAAATTTGTACATGGCAGAACCAGGTGCTAAGATAACTGACTTCAAAAGACAGGAAGGCCAAGTTTCCTCTGGAGATTCTTTATGGCTATTGCTAGAATACACCAAAGAGAGGATCATTGGTGCTGGTTGCCATTCCACTGAGGACTACCTGGATGATATCCTCTAGACAAAGCAGAATGGTCAGCCCAATATAATTAGTTCAATTCTGGGTCTAGAGCCTGTTGAAAGGCAGTGATAATTCCTCGAATACACAGACAACTTTACTTTGGAAAATGTTCACAGTCTTAGACAAGTAGCTGTGTGAAACCATGTGGAACAGATGACCAGGTAAGAGCTTTGGATCCTCATGAACAGGCTGCTTTTAGAATTATTAATGACTTTTTTTTTTTTTTTTGAGATAATGCCTGGCTCTATGGCCCAGGCTGGAGTGCGGTGGCATGATCTTGGCTCTCTGCAACCTCTGCCTCCTGGGTTCAAGCCATCTTCTACTTGAGTAGCTGGGACTACAGGCATGCACCACCATGCCCAATTAATTTTCCTATTTATTTGTAGAGGTGGGGTTTTCGCCATGTTGCCCAGGCTGGTCTTGAACTTGTGAGCTCAAGCAATCTGCCTGCCTTGGCCTCCCAAAGTGCTGGGATTGCAGGTGAAAGCCACTGTGCCTGGCCATGACTTTTTTTTTTTTTAAACGGACAGTCGATACTGTTCATTGCTTATCTGCACAGATCTTATGCTAGAAGCAGTTTTACTTTTTAAATTAAGACAGTCATCAAAGTATCATAGTTAATGTATTAATTATCACCCCTAGAAGCAATGGTGAATAGAGAAGCAGGGACTTTGAGTTCAAAAATATAAGCCTAAATTTAAAGTTGTTTAATCTTTCTGAAACTCAGTTGATTCATCTGCAAAATAAATTGTTGATAATTAAATAGAATAATGCATGTAAAGCGGTCTCCAAAATTCTGGGTGTTTAAGATATGTGACAGTTATCACTATAAGAAAAAGTAACATATTTAAATAACTAAGATAGTGAAGAATTCATGTTTATCCCAGGGACATAATGGGACACACAACAAATTCAAAACAAAAGCAACAATAACATTCTAGCAAGCATTTGATGAAAAAGACAAAATAGTTATATTAATAGTGTCAGAGGGCACATATAGGTAGAAGAGAAGAATGATAATGATGACAACAATCACAATTATTAGCAGCTACCATTTAATGAGTCCTTACTTGTCCACAGTCACACAATTAAAATGTTAGATTTGAGATGTGAACCTTGTCTCTCCGGCTCCAAGGCCAAACTCAGTCTTCTACAACACAGTTTCTCTATTGTCATGTGGGGACCATTCAGTACAAGAAATGCAGAAAAGGGAAGACAGGGACAGGAAAAAGCCCCTACAATTAAAGTTGTAATAGAGACTTGAAGCATTTTTCCCCCAGACCAATGAGGTCACACAGAATCCTTTTTGACAAGGCAGAACCAGAAGTACAGAAATGAAGTCGGAAGAGAAAGAGAATGTTTTCCCTTTCTGAAAGGCATGCTACTCAACAGTAGCCTTCAGTCTGAACCGCTCCTAAGTTGCTACCAAAGGGCTGAAAATGGACACCAGCTGTTTGGGGCTGTTGATTTGGAACTGCTTAACTATGCAAGGAAAAGGTGCAAAGAAGTTCCACTACAGAAGTAACAAGAGCCTGATTCCAATAATCAGTGGGTCTCAGTCTCCAAAAACTTCTATGTTTGGGTACTGTCTCTTTGATATCTGAAGAGAAGAATCACATGACATACTTATTTTCTATGAGAGTTTACTTCAGGGTGATATACACAAGGGAAGCATCAATTACTGACATCAATTGACTTAAAATCATGGGGAGATTCTGTCTAGCAGAACCTCAGTTGCCTTCCTCAAATAGGAAGTGCTTCCCATGGGATAAAGCAGGTAATAGGTTGGTCCAAGAGGAACAAAGTTGTCATTTGAATGTTCTCTTTCTAACCAAAACTTGGGTGACAACATCAAAGAAAAAAATCATCTGTTATAAAGCAAAATATAATCATAAACCACTATACAACTTAAATATATAAAATTATGCGTCTTATCTTACTATGGTATACTATAGACATCAACAGCAACATACATTTGACCTATGTCTAAATTGGAGTAAAGAAACATCCTAGTCATTAAACACATATCAGTGGTTTTTAAGCTTATAATTAGGAGGTGTTAATAGTGTCAGAGGGCACATATAGGTAGAAGAGACGAATGGTGATGGTGACAATAATGACAATTATTAGCAGCTACCATTTAACGAGTACCTTACTTGTCCACAGTCATATAATTAAAATGTTAGATTTGAGATGTGAACTTTGTCTCTCCGGCTCCAAGGCCAAACTCAGTCTTCTACAACACAGTTCCTCTACTGTCATGTGGGGACCATTCAGTACAAGAAATGCAGAAAAGGGAAGGCAGGGACAGGCAAACGCCCCTACAATTAAAGTTGTAATAGAGACTTGAAGCATATACATTTCCTTTTGGATGGTAAGGGCATTCAGATAAATTGTAATCAATTGAGTGACAGCATAAAGATAATAGATCTTTAGTGCATGCTTCTTGTGGTATTTTTCCCCACTCACTAGAACATACTGTTCAAACTTAAGAGATCATTTAGTACTTCCTCTTCTGTATTTTTTCCAACTTCTTTAGTTTACTGAAAGCTACAATTGTGGCTACTCAATATATAAAGGCCACCAGGAAATAACGTGGTAAACTAAGTTATCAAAGTATTTCATACTTTATTAAAAATCCAAGTAAAAAAGTAATTAGGTAATCAGCAAATACTATTTTTCTTCAAATCATATCTCATGGGATTGTCTCACGAAAAATCCTTGTAGCAATATCCTGCCTGTCCACCCCCACTGTAATGGGTGTGCTTATTGACACAGGCATAGATATGAAATATGGTTGTTAATTAAGTAGCAGCGAATGTGTGGAATTTAATATAGAAAAGGGTAAGAAATAAGAAGTTAACATTTATTTTTCAGAGCAATTTTATCTACTGAATAAGGCTAGCAAATAGCTCAGTATAAATAACTATGTTAAATGGACTCAATGGAAGACTTTTATTTTTGTTTTTATTTCTTCTGCCCCAGGAAGTGTTACTGTTATTTTGTTTCCAAAAAAAAAAAAAAAATCAAATATATTTAGTATGAAAACTTATAGCTTACTTCTTACCTAGTGGAAAGCCACTAGGTAAGTCCATCTCTTATTTATTATCATCTTTATTACTTATTGTACTCAGAAGTAACAATTCCTCTTGAGTTCTGAATGAATGTGTTCATGCCAATTGAACTTCTCATGTTCCCTCCTCCCAACCCTATGCCTTATAACTTGTACTTCTAAAGTTAGAAACAAATTACATGATACTGAGAAGATTCCAACTTAACTTTGATCATAACAATCGATATTTGGATTGTTTGGGAGAGGAATTTTTAGTTTCCTTAACTAGTAGGAGGTTATTATTTAAAGGAGACTGGATGTAGTCAAAGGTATTTAAAAGCAGCAGAGTTTACTCAGATACATGCCTAGTCAATTAGAATTAATCACATTTTTAACTGCTGAGAGTGAAAATTTTACTTAATTAGAAGGACAGTTGACAAGGAAAATCTAGGTTTCCATATTTTAAATACATGTTAATGATACACTTTAGAAAGCACTTATATCAGATATGCATCCTTTTCTTTTTAATTAAAGCATCCACTTTACTGTATATCTACATTTATAGCATGAATAATCCCAACATTTAATTACTAACTCCTAAGTCCTGAGACCTAGTAAATAATTCAATTTTCCTGTCCGTATATGGATAAAAGGATAAGGAGATTAATAACAGTAATATAAATACAAATAGAGATTGATTAGTACAAATATAGCTACTTACCTATGATACATAAGCACTAAGGAGAATACAGACATTCCTCAGACATTCCTTACATACTTTACGGGCAGAGGAGAAAGAAAAATCTTAACCTATTCAATTATCACTGGTAGATAATCATTTTTATTCAATTCCCGAAGAAAAATTTGTGTTTATATGATAAAAGAGAATAAAAGAATAGTTTCACGGCCAGCCACCGTGGCTCACAGCTGTAATCCTAACACTTTGGGAGGCCGAGGTTGGCAGATTGCTCGAGCCCAGGAGTTCTTGACTGGCCTATGCAACATGATGAAACCTTGTGTCTACAAAAAAACATAAAGAATTAGTCGGGTGTAGTGGTGCATGCCTACAGGAGGCTGATGTGGGAGGATTGCTTGAGCCAGGGAGGCAGAGGTTGTACTGAGCCAAAATCATGCCACTGCCCTCCAGCCTGGACTCAAAAAGAAAAATAAAGGTTTCCCATGAAAGAAAAGCTGATTAATAGAAACTTTTGCAACGAATAACCCATGTTGTATTTCTTTCAATTCCCCTTTTTTTAAAAAAAAAAAAAAAAAAAAAAGAAAGGCAGACTGCCACATGCAGCACCTCATATGGATGTGTCTGGAATCTTGGAAGCTTGACTAACCTACATTTTCCTGTAAATGGACCTTCAGAGCTTGTCTGGAGGTTCTACCAGGGAAGTGCAGCTACTCGTATACTCTTGACCAAAGATCGATCCTCTTCTATCGGGGATGGTTGTCCTCTTTGACTGAGAGCCCAGCTTTGGGAGGGATGCACATGGAGTGGTGAGGGAGGAAGGGGACAGCCGCTTAGCCAGCCAGATCGCTCTCAAATTCCATACTCTGTTTTATGCAATATTCAATAACCTTATGATGGCTGGTGTTACCTCCATTTTATAGATGAGGAAGCAGATGCTTAGAGTAGTTAAGTAGCTTGTAGGAAATCACAAGGTTAGGAAGTATGAAAGCCTGCATTCAACCCCAGGCTTGCCTGCTTTCAGAGTCAGCTCTTAATAATACAGCTTGCTGTTCTGTAAGACCTATCATAAGAAAGAAGCTGTTTGCTAGGAATGTTTTATATGGCCTGAGAGAAACAGAGTTTAGATGCAGTGGTATTCAATGTCTGGGCTACTCTAATGTTTTGTGAGGAATCAAGACAGAATGCCTCAAAATGGGACCTTACCAATACACCAAATTTTATACTTTCAGTAACTGTACAGCCAATGACCTGTTGATGTTGCCTCTATGGAAAATGCTTTCCAAGTCTCAACCAATCATAACATAAACATAACTACTCCACTATAGCTGCTTCAGGGAAGGCACTCCCTTCCCTTCCCTTCTGTTCCCTGGACAACTACTTCCAGAAATTACAAATTGGGAAAAAAGGAATCAACCTCATCACAGCACTTAAACTGAGATTTGTTTGGGCATTAGCCCTTTGGCTTGAAAGGCTCCAAGGATCCCTTCCCAAACCCTGCCTTTTGAGTGTCCTATTACAAAGTCTATTATGGGATTACTGGAAGGACCCACTCAGAGAATGTCTATGGCCTAAAACATGAGACATAATCTGATAGACTACAATCTACAATCTCATGGAATGTTGCAAAGGGAGTATTATCGACTTTGGGAAGTTCATGTCTTTTGAGAACTTGTAGGAAATAAATTAGTGTGTAACATTCTCAAATAAACTTATACACTCAAGAAAAATAATGCAAAGATTTTTTTAAAGTCTAAGACCTTGGCTGGGCATGGTGGTTCACACCTACAATCCCAGCACTTTGGGAGGTTGAGGCAGGTGGATCACCTGAGCTCAGGAGTTTGAGACCAGCTGGCCAACATAATGAAACCCTGTCTCTACCAAAAATACAAAAATTAGCTAAGCATGGTGGCAGGTAGCTGTAATCCCAGCTACTTGGGAGGCTGAGGCAGGAGGATCGCTTGAACCCAGGAGGTGGAGGTTGCAGTGAGCTGAGATCATGCCACTGTACTCCAGCTTGGGTGACGAGAGGGAAACTTTGACTCAAAACAAAAACAAAAACAGAAACAAAAACAAAACAAAACAAAAACACACCAAATTCTCAGAAGTGCAAAAGAGTTGTAAAGTTTTTTCTGAAAAAGAGTATGTATTTTCATATTTGTATAGCAATTATTTTATACATAGATTATGTCATTTCTTTAATAAATAATAAATTTAATTCTCTTTCTTAAGAGACAGGGTCTCATTCCGTCTCCAAGGCTGGAGTGCAGTGGCATAAACTGTAGCTCATTGCAGCCTTGAACTCCTGGAGGCAAGCAGTCCTCCTGCCTCAGCCTTCCAAATAGCTGGAACTACAGGTGCATGCCACTGATTCTAGCTAATTTTTAAATTTTTTTGTAGAGCTGGCATCTTGAACTCCTGGTCTCAGGTGATCCTCCCATCTTGGCCTCCCAAAGTACTGGGATTACAGACATGAGAAAGCACACCTGGTCAAATTTCTTTCTTTTAAGGACAAAAACAGAACTTACCTTTGGAAATCAGCAACCAATTTGACATCAGCTATGACAATCTTATGCTCAATAATCATGTGCTTAAGAAGTTTGTCTTGTTCAGCCACAGGAAAATGTTCTTCACAGAAAATACAAGGCACAGATGGAGAACCTTCTAAAGTGGTGGTGCCACCTGGACTTTCCGGCAGGGAAAGTGGCTCCAGGATACAATCCTTAATGTCTGAAAGAGACAGATAGATAGATAGATAGATAGATAGATAGATAGATAGATAAATAAATAAATAAATGAAAGAAGGAAAGAAAGAAAAGCTGAAGCTAACTCTTCATATGGATGATTTCTCATCTCCTGCATTAACAAGATTCTAAAGATATTTACATGTATCCAAAAAGAAAAATACATAGTACTAGAGAGTAGGATAATTTATTATCATTTTAAATAGCTTTTCCAGCCCAGAGGCAGGGAGTACTGCAAAGCAGCTTAAACTACTATTTGCTTGCTTGAATTGGGGAAACCCATTTGTCAGGGCAGCTGTTCAAGCTTTCTTCTTGGACACTGGCCAATGGCAGCAATTCCTGGGGTACTTGCAAGGGGGAAGGCTGCAACACTCTGGGTTAAGGTTCTAAGGCTCAATTGTGACCTACGGCTGAGAATCATCACACTAAGGGAAGTAAATGGTATACATTAAGGCTACAGATGATGCCAGGCCTGTCTTTTAAGCTGCTTCCTTTGCACCTGCAAACTCTTTCTGGTTTCTGATCATTTGACCCAAATAAAGAAGAAGACAGCTTTCACGCTGGGTAGACATAGTATGTGCTGGGTGGCCCTGATGACAATTTTCTATGCTGATTTATGTTTATCATTTGCCTATTACACAAGTATGTATTACAATTCATGCTTCTGTGAACAAATAGATGAACGCTCAATCTATTGACATATGTGATGTGGTAGACATTTTTCCTGGCTGTATTATTCCTTTTCCTAACACCATCCACAGTATCTTTAAGAGCTGAAGTGTATAAAGTCTATGTCTCTCATTTCAGGGCCTAAAACCACAGCCAGTTGTGACAGAAGCCCCGTTTAGTCTGCCAGAGTGGACGTCTAGACCTGTCACTTTAAACAAGCTATTTAGTAGTTACTAATCAGAAAACTGGGGTAAACAAACTAGGGTAAAGCCTCTGGCATTTTCAGAGGAGCAGGCGACTTTCTTCGGAAAGAAAAGAACCTTCTTCAGAAAGAAAGATGGCTATGCCACAGACAAGTTTTCAGAATTAGGTTAACATTAGTTCTCCTGTTAAAGTTTCCTATTTTTGTCTTACTTTATATTATTTTTAAAGGCATCTTAAATTTATAAATTAATCGAATCAGTCACTGGTACATTGCTGACCATATGTTAAGAATTATTTAAGTGATGTTCCTTCACTTAACAAAAATCAACTGACTGTCTACTGGGATGTTCAATGTTGCATGATATGGTGATTGCCACCAACCAAGGTTAAAGTGCTCACAGTTTGTTTGAAAGTACAAACAAGTTAAAAATATAAGAATGGAGAATGTACAGGGTTTACAGGAGCAGGGGTTAGGGGAGTCACTAAACTGAGCTGGAGAAGGAAGGTGTCCTATAGGAGAGAACCTCTAATATATTACTCATACATACTCTAGTTACATTAAAGTATGCTAAATCAGACTGTTTCTCTTTGTTCACAAAATTACTTACTAATATCAGAGAAGGTGAAAACACATAGGATACACATAACAGTAGGGAGAATATTTAAAATATATAAGCACTTTAGAAGCACTATTAACAAAACTGGCATTATCAATGACTATTAAATTAGGTAATGAAATCAAGGAGTTCTGGAATTCTATAGTTCTTCAGTTGTAGGTTATATTTTTTAGTAGTAGGTTAACTTTCATAGAAATTTAAACTCAAATGTGAAAAACAGAATGGGGAAAGAGATAAGTAATATACTTATTAAACTCTATGATAGTATTTTATATCCACTAGTATATAGCAACGAAAGGCAGCATATTCTAAACAAAGATAACATTAGTAAACATTACCTGCCATGTAGGAAATAACAAGTACTATATGACACCCTTTCCACAAATTTAATTGAAATATATATATATATATATATAAAATAAATTTATATATATATATATATATATATATAAATTTATTTTGGTTTGACTGCTAAAAACAAACCCATGGTATTAATTGTCATCATCAATAGCACAACTAACATTTATTGGCTACTTGCTATTTGCAAATTACCTGTAAAGTGTGTTAGGACATTTTCCTAGTTAATTTTAACTATCTTATTCAGTAGTCCTACTATAATCCAATCTTCCAGATGAGAGAATCAATATTTAGAAAAATTAAATAAGTTCCCAAAGTCAAAATGTTAGTGAGCAGTTGAAGCATTTTGAGTTGAGCCTAAACTCAAACACTATGCTATTCTGTTCCCTGTACCACATGCCATTTCTCCAACTCTGTTCCTTCTTTAGTATGTATGTTCGGAGCTGTGAATTTCTATGTACATATTTATAAACTACTTTGAATTTATATGTGTTCTGCCAGTGTTCTCCAGTCTTCTCGATACTACCATAGCAATTTTTACACAAATCTCAGGAGCCCACAATGTCCAAAAACCACTAGAGTACAGTTCAAGACCATCATTTTATTTTTTTCCCCAAGGTTTTATTGTAATCTATTATTCCTCCATGGATTACCTGTTTCTCCCCTTTTTTCATGTCTAATGCCCAGTTATTTTTTGAAATTATTCCTAAGAGAATGGACCTAAATATTCACATATAGAAGAACCAAACTGCCTGTGGTTACTGCAAAGGTCTAGAAACAAAATCATGAATATGCAAATTTCCTGCATGAGAAACTTGTGGTTTGGCAGGTATTAAGTTGTATTTGGGGGCTTCAATTACTATGTCACAGATTCTCACTCTGTTGCCCAGGCTGGAGTGCAGGGGCACAATCTCAGCTTACTGCAACCTCCATGTCCTGGGTTCAAGCGATTCTCCTGCCTCAGCCTTCCAAGTAGCTGGGATTACAAGGGCCCGCCACTATGCCTGGCTAATTTTTGTATTTTCAGTAGAGATGAGGTTTTCGCTGGTCTGGCTGGTCTTAAACTCCTGACGTTAAGTGATCTTCCCACCTCAAACTCCCAAAGTGCTGGGATTATAGGCGTGAGCCACTGTACCCAGCCAGAAAATAAATTTTAATATAACAATTTTAGATAACAAGATTTTACAGTTTTCTCTCTGATTCCCAAATGATTTTTTGGCACCTTGTTTAAAATTATAACAGCATTGATCATATGGAGTAATTTGTTTATCTCTTCGTCTTCTTGTCCAGCTTCAGGTTGTTAGCCCTTAGAAGGCAAAGTAAGTCCTAGTTGTCTCTATTTACCTGACATGTACACTGAATTAACCTGCTACCCCATTATGACAGAATCCTTGTGTATTTATTTTGTGCCAGGCATTGTTAACAACGTCACATGTACAGTATTTACTCAATTAACCCTCACACTAACCCTATGAAGGAGATTCCACTTCCATCCCTGTTTTACAGATGAAGAAACTCAGGGGGTAAGAGGTGGAATGACCTGCCCGCAGCTATCAAGTGATGAAGCCAGGGTTTTAATCCAAGCAGTCTTGCTTAGATGAAGAGTTTAGATATTTTCCTATAGGAAGTAAAGCCACTTATGATCTAAACTGATATGAGAATGGACTGGAAAGAGGCAGGTCTCAATGTAGGGAGACCAGATGGGAAACTACTGCAGTGTCTGGGTCTGAGGGCTTGTCTGAGGCAGCAACAATGGCAGTGGATAGAGGAGACGAGAGGGATAGTGGTTAAACGGACAGTTCTTGATCACTGATTGGCAATAAGGAGTGAAGGAGAAGCCTCCCATGTTCCTGGCTGGAGACATAGTACAAAATGAAGTGCCAGTCACCAGTGAAGGAATACATGCAGAGAAGCAGGTTTTGTTTTATGGCAGGGAAGGATAATAAATTATATTTTAAATGTACTCACTTGACCTGTTCAGAAGTTAGATATTCCTCTTATGTCTGGTAAATAAGGGCAGCACAGACTGGTGACTTATGTGATGCATCTGTACCATTCTGTTTGCCGGGCCCTTCTCAGGTTCTTCTGTGGGCTTGACCCACTCCCATCTCTCCATGCCCAACAAGAGCAAATACTTCTGTACTAATTAATTATTTACGTGTATGCCTCTATTACTGTGCTAGTCTATGAACTCCTTAAGATCAAGGACTAAATCTTACTTATTTTTATACAGCTGGTATATAATACAGTGGCCTGGCTGGGTGCGGTGGCTCATGCCTGTAAACCCAGAACTTTGGGAGGCTAAGGTGGGTGGATCACGAGGTCAGGAGTTCAAGACCAGCCTGGCCAAGATGGTGAAACCCCATCTCTAATAAAAATACGAAATTTAGACCGCCATCTTCCAGGAATTCGCCAAAATGACGAACACAAAGGGAAAGAGGAGAGGCACTCGATACATGTTCTCTAGGCCTTTTAGAAAACATGGAGTTGTTCCTTTGGCCACGTATATGCGAATCTATAAGAAAGATGATATTGTGACATCAAGGGAATGGGTACTGTTCAAAAAGGAATGCGCCACAAATGTTATCATGGCAAAACTGGAAGGGTCTACAATGTTACCCAGCATGCTGTTGGCATTGTTGTAAACAAACAAGTTAAGGGCAAGATTCTTGCCAAGAGAATTAATGTGCGTATTGAGCACATCAAGCACTCTAAGAGCCAAGATAGCTTCCTAAAACGTGTGAAGGAAAATGATCAGAAAAAGAAAGAAGCCAAAGAGAAAGGTGCCTGGGTCCAACTGAAGTGCCAGCCTGCTCCACTCAGAGAAGCACACTTTGTGAGAACCAATGGGAAGGAGCCTGAGCTGCTGGAACCTATTCCCTATGAATTCATGGCTTAATAGGTGTTAAAACAATAAATAAATAAAAGACCTCTGGACTGTTAAAAAAAAAATACAAAATTTAGCTGGGTATGGTGGTGTATGTCTGTAATCCCAGCTACTGGGGAGGCTGAGGCAGGAGAATTGCTTGATCCCAGGAGGTGGAAGTTGTAGTGAGCCGAGATCATGCCATTGAACTCCAGCCTGGGTGACAGAGCAAGACTCTGGAAAAATGAAATGAAATAAAATAAATAATAAAAA